CAGTTTTTGTTATATTTCTCCACAAAATACAGGGCAATTCTGAGTGAAGTAAAGAGTAGAAACCATGGATTTGTCTATTTTTTTAGACATTCTTTTTAACTAAATGTCAGATGCTCTCTGCTGAGTTGTAAAGACTGGTTTAGGGCTAATTTCACATGTTGAATATAAACAAATACACAATTATGCAAAGCTTTTGCAAGCCAAAACTGTAATTCAGCAAAGTGTTTAAAGAACAGACCTATTATACATACCTGAATACTCACTTAACACTAACAGGTTGAAATACTTCACAAATTCAAAGCACAGGTAGTAGGGTCTCTCTTCAGAGTAACGTTGAAATACATTCCTAAATCTACTCTTGTTCAGAAAAAAAACCCCAACCAAAAATAAGCATGACCAAACACTCTAATTTAAATACTTTCGTTAACTGGTACCTAGAAGCAAAGAGAAACAAATAGGAACAGAAACTGTATGTCTTAATGGAGAACTTTATATGACGTAGTAGAACACTGACATACTTGAGGGTGGTGAGCTCTGTGAGGGATGGCTGGGTGGCCTTGAGATAGCTCTCTCTCCGTGCAGCAATCTTTGGAGATGGCTTCGGACTTGTGTCTGAGTCTCCACTGTCATCATCCCCCATGGCTTTGATGTAACTGCCACTACGCATTCGTCGGCAGGGAATCTCATCATCTTTCCCTCGTGGAGTGTATCCAGTCCATTCATCTTGAGGGACCTGAAGTGATAAACAGAATTCTCTTATTAGTACACTCTTCCCTGATGTAATTGCACAGCAAGATTTGACCGTGCTAAACCACAACAGAGCCATAACAAAAACTCTCATGGCCAAGGGCCTATTCTTAATCCCACTTGACCGTGGGTCGCTGCTTGCAGTGGAGGCCCACTTCTCCCCCTGCATAGTCACAAGCATCTCTGGAGTTCTTTGTTATTTTCCACTACTTATCTAGGAAGTTTCTAGCTAACATGCTGACATAGATGCCTCAGTCAGGTCTAATACTGGGCTGGATAAATCTGTCTTTTTGGTAGTTTTCATTAGAAGTATTTGCAAACCAGATCAGGGTACTTTTGGTTTAGCTTAACAAATCAAATACCTCTGGGGAGGCAGAAAAGATGAAATATGAATCCCTGTATCACAATCTTTTCAGACAGAGTGTGCATTGCTACACAGACCAGGATGACTGGTTCAAGATACATTTCAGATTAGTGGAGCTATTCACTTATCATCACAAAAGTAGGTTTGCAAGTGTGAAATTATACTACTATTGCTTCTATAGCATAATTAGCACCACTGAACACCTGCCAGCTTGCAGGGATCCTCCTTTTGAGTTATGTTAGCCTGAGTGTTTGAGTCATACAACTCTTTATTCTCTTCTTTTTCTTCTTAATGTACATTATTTCTCTTGAAATAATACTCTTACTTCTTCTGAAGTAAGTGCTATCCATTCTTTGCACTGTAAATCTGGAACACTGGGAATGTGCATTCATGAGGTTTTGGAACATAGCAAGTAGACAGTCCAAGAGTGCGGTGCTCTTGTCCACCCATCCTGTCTCTTCCTCTGCTCTTGGGGCTTCTGGCCATTGTAAACCAACACCCTTCTCTTTCCTTTAACAGCAGAACAACATGCAGTGGAGAAGGGTCATTGGAGGAGTTCTCCTGAAGTTATTTTGCAGAAAGCATATTTTTATAACAAAGGTGAAACTGCAAAAAGGCTTTTTAGTTAAACATATTTTGTGTTTGATTTAAATAAAAGTAGTTGTCAATTTTTAGTTTGCTACTTTTTCGATTATTTTTAATGAATCAGCTCTATAAAGCAAGCTATAGCTACAATGCTCAAACCCCCCTACAAGCCATATTAAAAAAGGAGTCTCAGATCCAAGTTGCTAAAATTTGACCTGGAGCTTATGAATACTAGCATCTTACCAGGATAATCACGGAGTGCCTCTTTCTATGGAAATTTTGTTCTTCAACAACATCTATCATCTGCTGAGTATCTTGTGTATCCATTGCTTCACAGACTTCAGCCATAGCATTCACATGCCAGCTTGTTTAGACAACCAAAACTGAAACACTGGATTGCTTGCTAACAGCTTAGCTGTTGATTCCCACTACAAACTTAAGCCTAAATCCAGATGCTTTAAGGCCTTTCAAATGTTACTGTTGACATAGGTCAATTTTTTATGGCATTTTATCCATCTATGCTGCTACAAACTGCAATAGAAAAACCACTGTGCTACACAAATGAAACAAAGATATTTAATGGTCCTAAGCATTTATGGACTTACTGCTAATCATAATTAACCAAACTATTAAGCCATGTCACTGTTTTGTTTCCTGCCAATTTCAAACCCAAGACCTTGCCAACTTTCTTCTTTCATTGACTCTTCTTTTATTGCATCATGATTTAGGTCCTTCCCTGAACTTGCTGGCTCAAACAAGGTGTTTCCTCTTGTACTCAGTCTAAGCTCTCTCTTTTGGTTAAGTCTGGCCTTGATAAACTCACTTGGAGCTTTGACATTTTCCTCAGAGGACTCAGGATTTATTCCTGGCATTGTATTCTAGTTTGTGTATCTATAGAAAGTAATTGAAGAAATACACTTAAAACACTTAAAATTCTTAAAATTTTCTTCTAGAAAAGGTTAAGACTCTAAGAACTAGAGTATTACAGACTGAGAGTAGTAACAGAACCCACTGGAAATATAGGACTGAATATAGGGGTCTGATACATTTCTGTGTGCAATAAAAAAACCCCAAACAAACAAACAAGCAAACAAAAAGCAGTTTCAATTCCATAGTTTTTAAGTTTATGCTTAGACCTCAGATCTGGAAAGTTCATGCTTTCTTGGTGTGTATACATCTGTAAAGGGTAAATGAAGATAGTATTTGGCGTGGGTTTGATTCCATTTTTGACATAGAAGAGTATGGAGCATTTTATACTCCTCCTGTAGCCATTAATGCAGCCAGAGGATAATAATTTTTTCATATCTCATTCTTGCAATGGCTCTAGGCCAACAGCATCATCAAACAGTGGAAATACAACTCTATATTCATACCACCTCTCACATACATTTTGGAACCTACAGCTCCTGCTTGTCAACTGTGAAACCTCAACTTTTCAATCCACTGATGTACAAAAAAGAAGTTAACACAGGCTTAGTAAAATCAAGCTCAGCTGACATTTTGATGATATGCTCAGCTTTCGGTCAGAAGTTTAAAACCTGTAATAGTGTATTTCCAATCAGTTTTCAGGCAGATATTAGATAACTAAGTCATATTATGTAGGGAATCTGTAAATTCTCTGAGGACATGCACTTTAATCTGTTTAATATTTTATTCATTACACTTTAGTTAAAGATAAGTGCTTTTTCTCATGAAAATAAATGAGTGAATCTTTAATGCACTAAATAGAATATGTTAGTATAATGTTAAAGTTGGTGTCTTTGTGAAAAAGTCAGGGGTGTTAAAGTTTCAGTGTCATAGAGCACCTGTAATTCAGGCAAGTTGAACACTTGTGGTTTTATGAAATAACAGACAAACTGTTAAATGTAATGCTGTAGTTTATAGATGCAGTACAAGTGATGAGCTATAGTTGCTGTAAGATGCCATAACCCTGGAATTCTTGAGTTCTGTTATCAGTAAGTCCATACATGAGTACAGTACCTTTTTTATCCCCAAACTTCTCAAAATAATTTAGATACATTAGGCTGAGTTTTGAAAGCTGATTGCAATGAATTTTCCACAAAACTTCCTATTTATTCACAGAAACACTGTGTGACATAATAGGCTTTGAATGCATTGTTCTAGCCTCACAATCTGTATGACATGACCAGGAGAAAGTTCCCAGTTTGAGCTCCACTCATTCTGTGAAGTGAACAATCACTGAAAATCAGCATGCTACTTTTTTAGCAGCTCTTCCACCTTTTAAATACCATAGAAAAACCAGAAAGCTGAGCTGGTCACATAGAGACAGGAGCAAAGCAGTCTCAGGGAGTGCCACAAACTTACTGGTTTTTGTACCGGAAGTTACCTTCATGCCCAAACCCAAAGGAAATAATATAAATGCAACCCAAGTTCCATTACCATATTACAGGTTTAAGGGTAAACCCTTTACATGCCAAAGAAAAAAGGATGCCTATGGTTAGGAAAAACATCCAGATTTAGAGAACCACCTAAAATACCAACCCAGCTATGCTTCTAATTTTCGTTAACACATTGAGGAAGTCAGAGTGTTTGTATGAATTCTCTTGCCTGTCTAGACATAACTGCAGTGGAAGAATGTAATGGATATTTGATTAAAAGGCTATTTTAGTTAAACATTTTGACCAGTTTTCTTGTAGATATTTGAGGCTGAGTGGGTCTCTCTTTTTTTCCCCCCGCCCCCAGCAGGGTTTCAGTATGTAAGAAAATATTAGGAAAAGAAATTTGGGTCCAGTTCCCCTTTATCTTATTTAAGATTCACAAGAGTCGTAAACCCTGATTTCAGAAATTGAAGTAGGAGAAATCAGTAAGACATCATGTAACTTGCAGAGAGCACTTGCAGTACTACTTCAGAAGTAGTAGATTTTTGCTTTAGCTATTAACAGTTGTAATACTTTTTATGAAAGGATCTCAGGGCAATGTCTGTATTACTTGAGTAGGACAAACAAGCCTTAGGGATTAGCATTTCCTTTCATTGTACCTACTTTGCTATTTAGAAAATACAGGCAGATACAATAATGTCAACATTTTAATACTTCTGTGCCTATAGTCAAATACCTCAAGCAATACCTACTAAAAGAAGTGACCTGATTTTCAGAGAGCTTTCTCTGGTTTCTAAAAGAAATGGCTGAAACAACTCATGCAGACAATGCAATTTACTGTCACATAAAGTGTTTCATATCATGGGGAAAAAAACCCCCAAACCCATAAAGCCCTCTCAAAACACAAACTGTGAAAATAAAACTGATCGCATTATTTCATGCATTCATTTTCTATACATATGGTACTAAACATTCTGTAGTGTGCTTCCTTCTGTTGATTTGGAAAATGCTGGGAAAAGGGTCTATGTGAACCTGCATCTCTTTCATTTTTTCAGTCAGGATGTCTGCACAAATTTTCCCACAGGCTCTTACTTTGAATCACCAATATTATGTCTTGCAGGATCACATACTATACCGCACTCAAGTGCATATGTACGGTATCTGCTGCTTTAGAGGATTAATGGCATTAAGACTGACATACCTGAGATAAAGCTGTTTCATGCTTTTAAGAAAATCATATTATCCAATTACCTTAGCAATACCATTTTATCAGTATCAGAATATCAAGCAGGAACATCACATGCATGATTAGTTTTACTCTCAAGAAAAAGGGGTAGAGCCAAACTCAGATCTAACAATGAACTTTTTTTTTTTTTCCATTAAATAGAGCTATTATTATTCACACTATTGAAGTAATAGAGATCCTGGAAACATTCATTCTGCAAATGGTCTTTACGATTGTGTACAATTTTTTCTTTACAAGCATAAAAATCAAGAGTGCACTTCACTTACACAAAAAGCGCAGTGAAATAGAACACATTACTACTTGAAAATACACAGAAAATATTCAGTGAAGGCCTCTGAGCCAGACAACTTACTGAAACTTGAGACTTCAGCATACACATTAGTAAAATGTTTGTTACAAGTATGAAAGCTAAGCCTGGCTATAGTTTCTTTCTTCTGATTAAATGGTAGATA